GTGGGGTATCTTTAGAAAGTCAACTCCCCACTTTAACTTTCCACTAAAATGTGCCTAAATCAAAGTGGGAAGTTGTTTCCGGGACAGAGGGAGTATATCCTAAACAAGCTTTGCACAAATAATGTCCACATGCCCAAATTGATAGCCCAAATAGGAACTATCCCATAACATTGGACCTCGGACTTTCGCAGGTGTGTGATCACATTCAAAACTTATTATCAATAAATACTATATTAAATAGACAAATAATATTTTATGAATAGTATCTGAGAGTTATCAGCATACATACTTGTTACTCCCCTGGGTACTTTGTTAAGTTTGACCGACGCGTGAAATAAGAATTTAAAAGCGTGTGATTAAGGTGTGTGCAAGGAGAGATAAATAATAAAATCACAAATTAGTTAATTTAAAGAAAATTTTGTCATAGTATTTGACACAACTAAAAAAAGAAACTTTGATAATATCCAGTATCAGTGTGGTGTAGGTTGTATAAAATAAGCTCTTAACTCTTATCTCAAAAGTTACATATATGTGTGTGGAACTTTTAATATTATGTGCAGCATTATATAAACCACATGGGTTCTCTATAATCATTTTACTACTGTAATATTTTATTATGTACCACATGATTTTATCACCTGAGTGCAAGCATGGGATTAGATAGTGTGGGGTAACTGCCGGTTTTCAAATTCAAAATAAAGTAAGATAAGTTCATGTGTAAAGTTATAAATGACAAAGTTTATACGAAAGAATAGTTTTCTGGTTCATTTCAAATTCAAAATTTTGGTTTTACTAGCTAGCTACACAAGTGTTTAGGTAAGTGGCCCATACAAACTTTATGTTGAGTGACCTGGCTCGATGTTTATTTGTTATGTGAATTAAGTCTAAATTTTATCTGTTAGTCTGATTTGGTTGTGGTTTGATTGCCACAAATTGGTAAGAGAAGCACACTTGGGATCAATTTGGCCGTTCAAGTTGTTGTTAACTAGAGTGTTAACTACTAATATACAGATATGAAGTAAACTAACTGTCACATATAGGATATTCACTACATTTGTGAAAATATATACACACATAAGGTAACTCTCAATTCTTGAAAATCCGTTGGAAATTTAACCCAAATTATCCAATGGAACTCCCCTTTTCTCATATATTTTAGTCAACCTATGGAATATTTCAGTCTGTATACTGAATATTGAGGCCTGCAAAGCCCTTACAAACGTTTGGAGTTTTGCAAGAGTCCTGTTTTTAGCTGCGAATTAGTTGATAGCTTTAACAATTGATTTTTGATCAGGTAAATGCAGAGGAAGCAATATCGGAGTTTGCTATGGAAGAAACGGGGACGATCTTCCCACCCCGAATGAAGCTGTGGAGCTAATTCAGCAACACAATATCAAATACGTGAGGATATACGACTCGAACATCCAGGTCATCAAGGCCTTTGCCAAAACCGGAATCGAGCTCATGGTCGGCATTCCGAATTCGGACCTATTGCCATTTTCCCAATTCCAATCCAACACTGACACATGGCTGAAGAACAGCATTCTACCATACTATCCGGACACGAAGATCACTCACATAACTGTCGGTGCCGAAGTGACAGAAGCCCCTAGCAATGTAACCGCCATGGCCGTCCCTGCAATGAAAAATGTATTAGCCTCTCTACGCAAAGTGGGGCTTCACAAGAGGATCAAGGTATCCACCACACATTCCTTGGGTGTTTTGTCTCGCTCTTTCCCGCCTTCTGCAGGGGCATTCAGCAGTGCTTATGCATTTTTTCTGAAACCCTTGTTGGACTTCCTTGCGGAGAATGACTCACCTTTCATGGTTGACGTATACCCTTATTACGCATATAGAGATTCCTCGAATAGTGTTTCCCTTGACTATGCATTGTTTGAGTCATCATCAGAAGTGATTGATCCAAACACTGGTTTGATTTACACTAATTTGCTTGATGCTCAGCTTGATGCTATTAATTTTGCTTTAACCACTCTAAATTTCAGAACAATTAAGGTTATGGTGACAGAGACCGGGTGGCCTTCTAAAGGATCACTGAAGGAAACTTCGGCTACTCCGGATAATGCACAAACATATAACACGAACTTGATTCGCCACGTTATCAACAATACTGGCACTCCTGCGAAACCAGGGGCAGAAATTGATGTGTACATCTTTTCGCTGTTCAATGAGAATAGAAAACCTGGTTTGGAATCTGAGAGAAACTGGGGAACGTTTTTCGCGGATAAAACGGGAGTTTATAGCTTGGATTTTACCGGGAGAGGCATTGTGGATGTTAGAACGGGTGCTAACTTAACGACTTCAAATGGAACGTGGTGCATTGCTTCGATGAATGCCTCTGATGCTGACTTGAAGAATGCTTTGGCTTGGGCTTGTGGTCCGGGCAACGTGGATTGCTCTCCCATACAGCCGAGTCAGCCTTGTTTTGTGCCCAATACTTTTGTTTCTCATGCCTCCTATGTATTCAACAGTTATTACCAACAGAATGGAGCTACTGACACTGCTTGCAGCTTTGGAGGAGTTGGTGTTCGAACTATCAAGAACCCAAGTATGGATGCCTTTAATTTCAATCTTCCAACTTTTCGATATATGAGAACAGATTTTAAGTGTCTCAAATCATATGCTTACATATTTATATGTGATGTATAAAAGTGTGAGTTAGGCCCATTTTAATAGTAGAAGGTATATTTTTTATTTTTTTAACTTTTGACTATTGTGGAATTGACATTGTTAGTACCCACCTTTGATTTCTTTCCACTTTTAGTCATCTAACTATTGTATTAACAAAATTTTATGTACCCGTCTTCAAATTTTTGACCTTTTAGTCCTCTTACTAGTGTCGGTCACAACTCTCACAAGTATTCATCATTGAAAAATGCCAGAACGGTGAGAGGACTCAAGTGTCACTGTCACAATATTTAGTAAAAGTGGAAATGTAAAAAGGGTATGAAAAGTGTCATCATTGCAATAAAAAGAAGACTAATTGAAAGTAAATCCAAAGACGGTTACTGAATGTGTCATTGCCACAATATCGAAATGACTGAAAAATAGAAAAAAACAACTGTGAAGGGTTTATCTGACCTACACCTCATTCCTATTGATTTGCTTGTACTCACATCTGTGGTGTAGATTGTGAGATTGGGAACGCTTTTTCAACTTCGGTTGTGATATGTCCTCTATCACATCCTCTGATATTGCATATTTGCACTGATTGTTGGAACCATTTTTTCATGTACTCACATGTCCTCTTCCCTTTCTGTTCTATGGTTTTCCAAACAAGGATGTATATAGTTCTTAAGCAGTATTGTTTAAGCGACCGACTTCCATTTGATGTTTGTGTTTTGTGTTATGCAGGCTATGACAACTGTCTGTACATGACCACTGGGTATGTTGAAATCTAATTTATGTTCATATTTCAGTTTTTGGATTTGCGATTTTGAAAGTATATAATATAGGACGAATGGTGAACTAGAAAACAATACTTATACTAATGACATTAGTTCTGAGATTTGCCAAAAAAGCTAAAAACAAATTTTCTAGTTATCAGACTTTATTTTTATTTTTTTAAAAGAAAGAAAAAGATACTGGTTAGTCTTACATCTGTTTCTAGTTTCTACCCATGTATATAAATTATAGCGATTGTCTTATGTATATTATCCACTTAATAGGAGCAAAACTGCTTCTGATCCTACTACTAATTCAACAGCAAGCCATCCAAAATCATCATCATCATCATCATCATCATCATCATCAAATCTTCAAAGAGTTTCTATTTGGATTCCAAGTTATTTGTTCACTTTCCTGCTCTTATCTAGCACCTTTTATTAAGAACTTCATCTTGCAACCGCTGTTAGAATGAGGAGATGGATATTTTGATTGTACAATATTCAACTTCATCTTGAATCTGTCTGTAGAGAATTTCAGCTCATTTTTGTATGATAAACTGTAGGTAGGTTTGTGTGTAGGATGAGATGGATGGAACAGCTTCATGCTGAGATGTACCAACTATACTCTCTTAAATTTTCAAACTTTCATTCAAGGACGGCAAATTTCATTGGCACAGCTCTCTCATTCAATATTTTCTCCCTGGACTGAAAATTCAATAGTTTGTTTTCGAGTTTACTAATGGTAAACTCGTAGGATACTAGGATGTGTTTGGAATAATCTCATTTTATTCCAAAATTTTTCGAGTTTACTAATGGTAAGCTCATTTTATTTATTTTTTAGCGTAGTGTTTCTCAATAATTTATTCAATCAACTTGTCGATTGAGTTTTAAACCAAAATTTGATGTGAATAATCTACATACCATGAAGAACATTGTCACAAATTTTCATCAAAAAAATCCACCCGGAAGCACCACAAATGTATGCATCCGTGCAGTGCATCCCGTAAGGTAATTCTGACACGATCATTCCACATGAAATAATTACATATACGTAGTACGTAGTATATGATTAAAAATATGACAAAATATGTTTTACTCCTCAAATAGATCTTATTTAGTTCTACTAAAAGTAATTTGATTAGAGTTTGCCAAAATATGAGTGAATAAGTCCTATTTTGAGAATAAAACAATGATTATCCTATTTATGAAATTTATTTTTATTTTAGTCCTATTTAGAGAATTTTTCTTTGTTCTTTGTGTTCCTTTTTGGCCCCCGCTATGACTAAATCTTGGCTCCGCCCCTGCTGCCACGTAAGCCCTAGGAATCCCCCAACCTCACTAGAACTTTGTCGAGGCTCTAGATCTGCTGTCCAACCTGGCCTGGTTGTGAGTTCCTGTCGTGGGCCTGATTCATAATTAGGCCCAGCTAGGGATGGACTCGGGTCCGGACCGGATCCGGGTCGGGCCTAGGCCCGGGCGGGCCGGCGGTTCAAGAATAGTGGATCCGGGACCGGCCCGGGTAGCCAACGGGTCCGGTCCGGGCCTCCGGTTTGGTTTTTTTTTTTTGCTTTCCTAACCCCCCCCCCCCCCCTCACCCCCACCCCCCAAACCCATCCTACCCATCAAGCCCAACCCGGGTGGAACCCCAAAAATGAAAAAAAAAAAATAAAAAAAATTCAATTTGGCCCGGGCCCGACCTGGCCGGGCCGGTTCACCAAAATTGAGACCCGAGCCCGGACCCGCCCTACCCCCCGGGCCTAGGCCCGACCCGGACCCGGACCCGGACCCGAGAACCGGGCCGGTCCTGGTCCCGCACAGTAGCGGGCCGGGCCGGTCCACGGGCCGGGTGGCCCGACCCGAGTCCAACCATAGGCCCAGTGGCTTATTATATTAATCCCGTTTATGGGCTTGATCCCGTTTATGGGCTTGATCCCGTTATGGGCTGGGTTCCGTAATTGGGCCATGGTCCGAGTCCATGGTACCATCACCACCTTTCACAAATTTTCTCCAAGTGGTGCCACACATCTTTTTTCTTTTTTTCTCCCTAAAACTTTTCCCTTTTTATTTTTATCGTCTTGACTCTTTTATTCCCCCTTTTGGTCTTCTTATTCTTTTTTTATTTATTTTTTTTCGGTTTTTTATTTTTATTGTTTTTCAATGTTTATGATGGAGTTTAATCGAACTACGAGAGCTAAATATAAGTAGAGTATAGAAATAATATCGAAATAATATTGCAGCGTAAGACAGTATTACTCTTATTCCGGGAATCGAATTACCGATCAGAATCCCCCCCTAGGGTATTTACATGGAGTATTTATAGAGATTAGGAGGTAGAATTATGGGAGGAATCTAATACAATAAATGCTAATTAATGAGCTACATTCTCGCTCGAAATAGAACTCCTCTCATGCCTTGGACGTCACACGATGGTTATCTCCTTCTCGTCTATGAATTCATGTCCAAGATAGCTATGAATCAATGATAGTCTGCCACGTAAACCTTAGGAATATCCCGGCCTCACTAGAACTCCGTCCAGGCTCGAGGTTTGCTGTCCAGTCCGACCTGGCTGTGGGTTTCTGTCACGGGCCTGATTCCTAGTTAGGCTACTTTGCTGTCCAGCCCGACCTGGCGAGTTGCTATTTTGGGATAAAGTTATCCTGGAATGTCGGTCAATCATCAGCTTTTACTCTAAAGCGTACGAGGCTCATTAAATGAGCATTAAATGCATGTACAGTGGCTTTTCCATTGAAGTCTCCTAGCCGTTGAGGGAATATTCCGTTGGTTTCACCGACTTAGGTAGATTTCTGAAAATCTTCTAAGTGTGAGGCATTCTGGAGTTCTTGAGCAGAGGATCAACCAAAGAGGGTCTCGAGCATTTCTGTCAGAATAGGAGCTAACAGAGGGCCTGAAGGTCTTTTGTCCAAATAAAAGCTAACAGAGGGCCTAGAGGTCTTCTGTCCTGTCGACTATTCTAAGAATGCTTACACTTGGAAAAATTCTAATACAATTTTCTAAAGAGGGGTACTCTAATATCCTTATTAATATAGCATCATCAAAATCTAAATACAATTATTCCTTACAATTTCCCCCTTTTTGATGATGCCAAAACCCTTAAACTACTTCCAGAGAAGTGTCTTTCACCATAAAAGAATTAAGTTAAATACTTTCATTAAAAATCGTGGTGGGCAACTTAGCATAGGGAAGCAGTAAGAGTAAATAAACAAGTAAAATACAAAGTAACAGAGAAAAACAATAAACAGAAGGTAAGCATAGAAAGCAATAAGAGACAGAATATGGAAAGTGCCATTCAAATTAGAGGCAGAGAGGTTATCTTATTTAGCAGAGAAAATAAAGATACAAGAGATAGAAAGATTAAGAGTTTTCCTCTTCTACCTGTTCTCCTGCTTCATCGATTCTCTTGAGTTCTGTATTAACTCTAGCTCTGATGGAGGCTAAGTTCCTCGGTTTCTGGTATTCTGGCCAGTGAGGTTCAAGATTGCAATCCAGATAGTTTCGCACGGCTTCTGATATATTCTTGCATGGGATAACTTTCATTTTTCACCATGCTTCAGCTTCTTGAATGGATCCTCCATGATTGATCTGGACAAGTCCATCAATATCCATGAAAAGGTTCTCTTGTTGTAGAGGAGTCATGAGCTTTTTCATCTGTTTGAACTGGGCTCTGTCAGGCCTTGACATCCCACTTTTCATCCAATCATTAAAAGAGAAGTTGGACGTTTTCTTCTTGGTTCCTTTTGGTGGTGGAGGAGGCCTGTGGATTCCAGCAGCAAGTCTCTTCTGCCTGGCGTTTTCAAAACTAGATTCTCACCCGTGCGATGCACGGGACATGAATAAAGTAATAGATGTATGTCCTTATTTGTTAATAAGGATTAAATTATTAATTCATGTATAAAAGCATGGAAATAGTAAATACGTAATATACATAATAAATTGTAATTAAATAAAGGATAGGTAGGACTCATGCAATGGTAGTGAGCATGTTTTAGAATAAACACAAATAAACAAATGTTACCGTAAAGTTTCTACAATCTACAAATTTCGAAACACTTCCTTGTAAACAACATTGATTTTAAACAACATTGAAAGTATGATCAATATTTTTAGCAATACGAATATACTAAAACACTAATATCATACTCTCTTCGTCCCTCTATAATTGTCTCATTTTTGCTTTTTCGTCCGTCCCACTAATTTTGTCTAATACCATATAGGGTAACATTGTGTAGCTGTAATTTATTCTTACTTTATCCCCACTTTATCACTTTATTATCAACCACATAATTTTACTTTTTTTAGAAACCATATCACTCCCTTCCGTCCCAATATTAGCGGGATAGAGGTAGTAATATATTACGTAGTATAACACACTAATGATCCACACCCTTAATCTCACTAATGTAATAATATAATTATAATATAATAATATATAATAATAACATAATATCATAGTATATTATAGCATAGTATATGATAACATAGTATATGATAACATAATAACATAATACAAATTCGTAACTATATAAGAATATTAAAATAACAATAATTACTATTATTACATAATAATACAATTTTCTAATCAAAACAATAAGAGATTACAAAAAATTATAAAATCTCATAAAATAGTTCCGCCTGGTTTTCCCACAGACGACACCAATGTTGTGGTTTAGTCCCGAATGACCCGAAAGCTCAACACTAACCTTGGATCTTAGGTTAAACTGTTATAGTAACGTGTATAAAAGTGAATATAAAATCTGACTTAACTATTTAAACAACTCAGCTTGTATTAACACAGTAATAACAATTACACAAAAATGACCGAGCGGTAATTATGGTTCAAAGGCTAATACGAGAGCTAGAATGCAATATAAGTTTGAGTTAATAAAATCCAACCCTTACAATGATTTAAAAACTGCTATTTATACTAAATGGAGACATGGAGTGCCCTAATACGATTGGTTGCTTTCCATGCCACTTGAGACCCCCATGATCTAGCATTAACTGCAGTCAGTCACATCCCGTTCGGGTGGTGCCGAATGGGCCTTGCCCTTAAGCAAATCGTTCGAGCCCAATGATCTCTTCTGGACTATCCTTTGTATTTTGGGCCTTGAGAATGTGCCGAACTCCCGTTCAAGATCTATGACCTCTGGGCTTTCCCTAGTGCCTGGGCTTTTAGGGATATTTTGGGCCGCCATATTGGGCCAGACCTCAATATCCTATCACTAATAATGATATTGATAATAATCACAACCATGACAAGCAATAAAAAGATACTCCGTATGATAATGGCAAATAGGGACACAAGTACAAACTTGGGAGGAAAGTCTCTACTTTCTACCAATGGCATCGAACACCACCTTCACTGGGCCAAAACAAAGATTGCCGGAAAATCAAACACAAGCTCACTCAAGGTACTCTCTTGAAGAGAAGACAGCCTTCTATTACCAGCTAGGCAGCAAATTGTTACAAGTTAACAAAATGTTCTTCAAAACCAAACCTTGACCAATTCAAGGAATCAAGGGAGCCAGGACATGCTTTGCTTACGGTTCCACTCAATGGAACAGAGTTCTTAGCACATAGCACCACTTCTAGGCTAGTAGGCTCCATCTCCAAAGCAGGTCACACTAATTGGTGGCCAGTGATCTTTTTCAAAGCCGAAAGTAGGGAACTCCTCTTCTACCTGAATTTTGCTCCTCTCCGGTAACTGGACTTTTAAGGTAGGAGAGATACAAAGAGAATAAGGGAAATGGTGGGGTAAGGAAAAATAAACGATGGGATTTATTTATTATTTTTAAAGAGAGAGATAGAGTGAAATGGAGAGAAGGAAATGGAGAGGAGTATGACTCAAGACCTTGATATCACCCGTTATAAGCAACCATGTTGAGTTTATGTTTAAAAGCAATTGTTTATTCTTTATCCAACTTTTGTGCCATATTCACATCTTTTCTGACCCGCTTCATTCCTTCCGTTTTCTATTGTTTCAGTAAAATTCCAACTCTCCCTGAAAATACACCTCTATTGTTCCACTGTCCCTTTCCACGCATGCCCTTCCCATGGAAATTATGATCTCATCCTATAGAGTAATCCAAGAACAGCACATAAAATATGTCTAGGAAAGAAAGAAAATTCTTGCACTTGGCACTCCTGAAGCTGCACATATGAAAATATGGTACTCTGAATTGCATATGAGAGAAATATAATGATGATAATTGCTATGATGCACAATGAAATGCTAGTATTTGTACCACGCCAGTGAGCCAGTCTATTATCCAAATTAGGCCAAAAGAGAGAACATAGTCAATGGGGGACAAGAAAAACTGTCAAGAAACGGGTATAGCTTTGAAGCTCTACAGAGCTTCAAGAGGACAGCAGCCCATCACTGTCCACCTAAAAAATGCAACACGCTCAACAAAGGCCTGTGGGTTTTCTCGTTCATGAAACTATCCCTCTTTTTAAATTCTTCAAGAAGTTCAAATGCATCATCCCCTTTCCCATCCCTACACATCTCTTCCAACACAGTTTTATAAGTCAGTAAATCGGGAGACATCGAATTATTCAGCATATCAAAGGCCACATCAATAGCATCCTCAAACCTCTTCTCCAATGCTAAACTACATATTAGAATCATATAAGTACTCCCCGTAGGAATGAAATCTTTATCCCTCATGTCCTTATAGAACCTGAGTCCTACATCCACTTTCCCCTTCTCACAAAATGCTTTGGCTAAATAACTGTATGTGTATAAATTCGGTTCACATCCATACAATCCCATTTCACGAAATACCCGAATTGCCTCATCAACCTCGAGACATTTTGAATAAGCCTTTATAATCATATTCATAACATAAGTATCAGGAATCACACCACAGGCCTTCATTTGAGTAGCTAATGATCTCACAGAATGTAAATACACATAGGAAACCGTTAACCTATTAAATTTAGGGAGAAGCGTATTCAGTAATAGCGTGTAAGTTTCCAGAGAAGGCTTAGCATCTTCACATTTCAACATTTTCTTGTAGATATCAAATGCTTGATTGAACAAGGATTTACGGCCGCAGCAGAATTTAATCATGCAATTGTACAAAGGGAGGCTGGGCGCGCAAGCCCCCGCAATGACCTCCTCCATTAGGGTTTCTGCAACCCCATAACGCTTGCCATGGATGGTGATTTGGATGATGCGGAGATAAGTCAAGTGGTTATGCTTGTAGGTTCGCTGCTGGCCTGTCCAGCGGAAAATGTCGAGCGCCAGGTCCGGGTCGGATTGGGCCTGCAAGGCTAGATCGACGTCCGACGGAGTAAACCCAGGACGGAGTTGGTTTATCCATGAATCGAATTGCTTTTCTGACGGGGTTAGAGTCCGAGGGTTAGGGTTTTGCAGGTCTTTAGAGGGTTCTGAGAGGGTCGGCGCTGTAGTGTGGTGATGAGAAGTTGAAGGTGCGGAAATCGTTCTAAGAAGGAGATGAAAGGTGAGGGATGGCCGAAATCTAGAGATCAACGAATGGCTCGCAACTGCTCGCATTTCTCCAGGAAGCAGGTATTGGGTTTAAAGTTGTCTTTTTCTCAGGAAGATGGAATAGTCTCGACCGGTTCTTTATTTCTCTTCTCGGTCTCCCCTTTCAGTTTTTCCTATCAAAATAAAACATTTGGGGTGTGTTTACTAAACGTGATATTTTCCAGTTTTCCATTTCTGATTTTTGTTCTCTAATTTTCTGTTTTCATTTTTCACTTTTTCTATCTCCAATTTTTTGTTTTTATTTTTTAGTTTTCCATTTTCAAATATGAAAACATGTTCATACAATTTTTTCGCCCAGTTCTCTGACCGACCAAAAGACTGAAAGTACGATCCAAGTCCGGAACCGAACCTAGTACAAACAAGTAGGCACTGGGTCCCACATATAGGAAAGTCGGGACCGAAATCGGCTGGTCCCGGTCGATCTCAGCAATTAGTTTGATGAATTCTTTTCTCATTTCCTTATTGATTGACAATTCAGTGGCTCTTTTAAAACTCTTCACTTTAAAAAATGATTTCGAAAAATCGAGACTGAACCGCCGGGTCATTTACGAGACTGGTCCGGGACCGCCCGGTTGTCGATCGGACTAAACACAGACCGTTGGGTCATTTGCCAGATAGGATGAGGATTGCCGAGTCATTTACCGGACCAGATGGGGATCGCCGAGTCGTTGACTAGATAGAATCTGACCGGGACTGCCCGACAGTCGATCAGACCGAACAAGTACGTCTGGTCATGGATCAGACATGACAGGGACCGTCGGGTCGTAGACCGGAATGGACAGGGACCGTCAGGTCATGGACCGGACTCGATAGGGACCGCCGGTTCGTCGACCGGACCAGGCCATCGGGTTGTCGACCGGATCGGGAACGTCGGGTCATCGATCGGATTGGACCGGGTTTGTCGGCTGTCGACCGGACCTGACATGATTCGCCGGATCAACGACGGGACCGGACCATTGGGTTGTTGGCCGGACTAGATAGGGATCGTCGGATAGTCGATCGGACCGGGACCGTCGGGTCATCGACCAAACCGGGACCGTCGGGACCAATCGGACTGGACCGGGTTTGTTCGGCACTCGACCGGACCAGACATGAACCAAGGGGTCAATGGCTGGACTGGATCGTCGGGGTGTTGACCGGACCAGATAGGGATCGTCAGGTCGTTGACCGGATCGTATCGGAACAAACACTGGAGCTGGATCGGATCCAACATTAGGCGTAAGTATGCAAATTCATTGTAGCAGCACTGTATCATCCTCGTTTTCCAAATTTGGAAAACTAGTAAAAGTCACTTCTCCAATTCTTTAAGGAAAACAGAGACATATCTCACTTTTCTAGAATTTTTTTGGTAAACGCGTTTTCTGTTTTCTGTTTTCCAGTTTTCCAGTTTTCTGAAAAACTGGAAACTATCTTTGTTAGTAAATGGGCTCGTAGTATATGTGTATACTTATTTTTTTTATTATTATAAGGGAAAAATAATTAAAATACCCAAAACTTTTAATGGGTATGAGATAAGTACCCTAAAATTTTATATGTTATTTAAATATTCCAAATTTTATAAAAAAAATTGTTTTAACACCATGATTATGTGTTATTTCTTTCAAAAATGTATATTTATGGTGTTAATTGCGTAATTTAAAATTGAAATTTAAAAAACTACAATTATATAGAGCGAGGGTATTATTTATTTTACAATGCAAGTTTAGAATATTAATTGTATGTTTATAAATGCTAAAATAATTGCCATGGTACAAAAATAACTTCTAATATAAAATTTGGAGTATTTAAATTGCATAAGAAAGTTTGTGGTGTTTACCTCACACCTCTTCAAAATTTGGGGTATTTTAAATATTTTCCCTTATTATTGTTGTTGTTGTTTACTTTTTTACTTCTTACAAATCATTGTTTTCCAATTTTTTCTTTACTTTTCTCTTCTAAATATAATATTTTTCCTGCTTTTTCATTTACCATATACTCTATATTGCCCCTACTACTTATGGTGGTGATACAAATCATTACACGTGAGCATGATTTTCCCCTTTCTGAATTTGAAGTTCATCTCTTTTTGTCTAGTGGAGAAAACAGAGTTTTATCCGCAGGAACCTTGAATATATCTCGATCAAAAAGGCTGTTTCGGGGATTTTCTAGGATATGTAATTTTTTTTCCTAAAAATAATTAGAGTGTGGACATGTATCTATTTACTTTATCGTCGGTCAAACATCGTAAACTGTAAAGAGACAATATAAATGGGACGGAGGTACTATTTATATCTATCGTGACAGAAATGTTTTCTATGTGGATGGGAAAGAACTCTTCTATACGGATATGCAATTTTCCTAAGTGGAACCATAAATCATCTATATGAGTTAGTTGAGTGTGAATAGAAAGAATTGGATTTATGATGTTTTTTGGATTGAAATGTGTTAATCTGGTTTGGTCTTGTCTGTGTAAGTCTGGTCTGATCCGATCTGGCGTATGAGACGTATGCATTAATAACCCAAGTTTACTACCGTGAAGGGACCGAACGATTAACAAGCGTATTCGTCGATCGATTCTAGTAATAATTAAAAGATGAAACAAAACTAGTTGATCTTTTAAGTAATGTTCAAAATATTATTATGAAATATGAATATGAATTAATCAATATTCAAGGAAGAATATTATCAAAGAAGATGAATCCTACTATAATTAATGTCAAGATGTTAATTAATTGTCATCTTAGCAACACTCCCCAACATTAATATAGAGGAATAAAATACTACTATAATTAATGTCAAGATGTTAACTAATTGTAATCTTAGCAACACTCCCCAACATTAATATAGAGATAGTATTAAGGAAAGAACTAATAATTAATATTCAAGGAAGAAGATTAAAGAAAATAACTCACAACTTAATTCATTAAGCTTCAAAGTAGCAAAACCAAGATGGAAGAGTTAGAAAGATTAAGAGTTTTCCTCTTGTACCTGTTCTCCTGCTTCATCGATTCTCTTGAGTTCTGTATTAACTCTAGCTCTAATGGAGGCTAAGTTCCTCGGTTTCTGGTATTCTGGCCAGTGAGGTTCAAGATTGCAATCCAGATAGTTTCGCACGGCTTCTGATATATTCTTGCATGGGATAACTTTCATTTTCCACCATGCTTCAGCTTCTTGAATGGATCCTCCATGATTGATCTGGACAAGTCCATCAATATCCATGAAAAGGTTCTCTTGTTGTAGAGGAGTCATGAGCTTTTTCATCTGTTTGAACTGGGCTCTGTCAGGCCTTGACATCCCACTTTTCATCCAATCATTAAAAGAGAAGTTGGACGTTTTCTTCTTGGTTCCTTTTGGTGGTGGAGGAGGCCTGTGGATTCCAGCAGCAAGTCTCTTCTGCCTGGCGTTTTCAAAACTAGATTCTCACCCGTGCGATGCACGGGACATGAATAAAGTAATAGATGTATGTCCTTATTTGTTAATAAGGATTAAATTATTAATTCATGTATAAAAGCATGGAAATAGTAAATACGTAATATACATAATAAATTGTAATTAAATAAAGGATAGGTAGGACTCATGCAATGGTAGTGAGCATGTTTTAGAATAAACACAAATAAACAAATGTTACCGTAAAGTTTCTACAATCTACACATTTCGAAACACTTCCTTGTAAACAACATTGATTTTAAACAACATTGAAAGTATGATCAATATTTTTAGCAATACTAATATACTAAAACACTAATATCATACTCCCTTTGTCCCTCTATAATTGTCTCATTTTTGCTTTTTCGTCCGTCCCACTAATTTTGTCTAATACCATATAGGGTAACATTGTGTAGCTGTAATTTATTCTTACTTTATCCCCACTTTATCACTTTATTATCAACCACATAATTTTACTTTTTTTAGAAACCATATCACTCCCTTCCGTCCCAATATTAGCGGGATAGAGGTAGTAATATATTACGTAGTATAACACACTAATGATCCACACCCTTAATCTCACTAATGTAATAATATAATTATAATATAATAATATATAATAATAACATAATATCATAGTATATTATAGCATAGTATATGATAACATAGTATATGATAACATAATAACATAATACAAATTCGTAACTATATAAGAATATTAAAATAACAATAATTACTATTATTACATAATAATACAATTTTCTAATCAAAACAATAAGAGATTACAAAAAATTATAAAATCTCATAAAATAGTTCCGCCTGGTTTATCCAGTAACACATTACACAAATGTGTCTCTTCATTTGATGTATTGCGAGAACAAACTATTTCAGTTATATCATGACGTCGAATGTGTTTTGAATGTGTTTTGTGTGATTTGGATCACAATTTTCTCGTCAATATAAACAACATATGCGACGTATTAAAATTCATGATATCTTAATGAACATGAATAAAAAAGATCATAAAAAACTTCTAATAATTCATGATATGAGAAAATGTTTTAATAAAATTTTCCGAGTAACTATATTAGTGACTTAGACTTACCATAAATATATTCAATTTTAAATTCTAGTGGTCATGAACTTACACTTATAGTAAATTTAGTCAAATTTAAATGTATGAGTTTAATTTAAAAAACATTGTCGGGACAACCTCTAAATATTTTTAGATTCTTACTAGTATATACTAATAATCAACGTCAATAGTTATAACAATTAATAGCAATAATAACATTATATTATAATGTAATCATATGATAGTATAATATAGAAAAAATTAATACTCCCTCCGTTTCATTCAATCACCTCATTATATTATATCTAGTATATACCTATCAAAACCATTTTTGAAAATATGATCGAATAACCCAATTTAATTATTGTTTAAATAATCGTGTCGTTTTATAATGAAAATATTTAAGATGGGCGGAGGTAGCTAGCAATACTTTTGACATTGATAATTCTTAATTAATATAATTAAGAATAACAAAATTAAACCTATTTTACATATTTTATACCCCGTATATCTTAAAATCACAGAAATTTATAATTTAATATACAAACAAACAATATTACTTCCTTTGTCCCGAATTAATCGTCTAGTTTTGACCTTCACATAGATTAAGAAAATGAAGTTGACTTCACATTGTAGCGACACTGTTTGGCACTGTAGCGACACTGTTTGGCACTGTGGCGACATTGTTTGGCCTTGTGGCGACACTGGTTGACACTGTTTTGCACTGTTTGATACTGTTTTTTTATAGATTTGTTTACCAAATAAGGAAAGTTTCAAAGTAGGACAATTATTTCGGAACGGACCGAAAAGGAAAGCAGGACAATTATTTCGGGACGGAGGAAATATTAACTAACATAATAAAATTATAAACACTTGACAACTATCACACTGTACAGGCCAATTTTAACCGGCCCAATTAAATCCATTCCAATGTTGTCATTTTCCGATCATAGCGTTGGTGACAACGGCTGAGTGATAATGGAGGATCTCACACCGATGTTGTTTCGTCCCACTGCATGTATTACATGTTCTTTACACACGGTTCATTTTAAGTAACCGCATAAGCGCGCAGTTGTATATAATTTAGATTCAAATATGAATCCACCCATCCCAATGATTTATAAGACATGGTCCGTTTTTGATGTTCCAGCAAAAAGTAACATTAATGTTATAAGTTATGAATCCATAGTATTACCTTTGTTTTGCTGACTACCAACTTCCCTTTTCATTTATAATTCCTAAATTGCTTGCACTCACCACTCTGAAATAAAAAACCAAAATTAAGATATTTATTGGTAATTAATATGGATAGGAATATTTATAAAATTTAAAAAATGAAAATATATGGATATTATTTGTTTTATTTTTGACTTTTTCTACCTGTGTAGGGGAAAAAGGAACCATGTAGCTCGGTTGTCCTGGAGAAAGATTTCGATCCTCTGCACTCTAATTGTGGCTGGCACTTCTTGTGCTCACACAACTCTCTCCCTAAGCGCCCATGAAGTTTGTTGTTTTGTGGAATTTCACTTGTATACGAACCATATTTATAGTGAATTGGCTGTTTGTTAATTTACATTTATCCATTGGACAATAAGTCGTATCAATTCAAAAATATGAGATGTAGAACAATAAATGTGGGATTTGACATATCCCTACTTTCTTGGTTACTATGAAATAAGTCTACACATTTGTTGAATCAATTGTACTACGTATCAAACAATGAATCAAAAACAAATCTTTGTTAAAAGATCTTCTGTACACGTAAACAGACTAAAGTAAAGCTCCGCATTTAATGCCTGTCTATTCATTCTTTTTCGTCCGTTTCATTAAAATTTCCACTTTCCCTTTTTTGTAAAGAATTTGTGGTTCACAACATTTCTTACACATTTCTCTCTCCTCTGCACAACTCTCCACCACACAATATCCACTATCTTAAACTTTGTGTCAAACCCATTTGGAAGTTAAAATGGGAACGGAGGTAGTATTAAATTTGTAGCACTATTTTCTCAATTAAAGACTCAAACCGGTTGCCTCAGGCCCGACCCAACAATTGACCCGAGACTTTAGGCGGGAAACTTGCCTGGATTTTCATTCTAGTTTGTATATAGAAAGATAAATCGCTGGATCAACAGAGGTGGCCTTCCTGGGTGACAGAGTTCTAGAGCTGGGAGTCTGGGACCTTCTGCTTCCCTAGTCTCTTTCTCCTTTTTGCCATCAACAAGATCACCAAGGAGGAGCTCTATTTTGTAGAACTCTGAAGCTTGAGTGTCCTTAATTTCCTCAAGAGCTTCTGGGAGAGTTTGGGTCATAGAGGTCAATCCCTATATCAGACTTTGTTGCTTCTGAATAGCTGAATAGATATCTTTTGAGCTTGCTTCAAGAAGTATCAACTTTTGATACCTTTCCTTGTCATCTTTAAGTAATGATAAGGCCCGTTGCTTATGAGTTTTGCAGAGCTCTTCAATGTCTTGCAGTTGCTCTTTAGTCTTTGTATCAGACCACTGTAGAGTGTCTATTACTTCTGAAATCTTGGCAAGAGTTGCATCTTGTGTACTCAGAGTCTGACCCACTGAGTAGAGAACAACACTGATGCCATCCACTTCTGTTGAGAGGACATCAATCTTCTTATTGGATTCAGTGGAAATTTTAGAAAAGAGACTTTCAGAGCGGCAACATTGTCAGAAATATGTTGCATACCAGAGCCAAGAGTTTCATTCACATGAGACATATGCTCATAATGACTCCGATCGATCAAGATCAGTTTCTGCATCCCATCCAGCATCTGGCCACCAAAATCTTCTGCAGATTCAACAAATTTATTTAAGGGTATCTGAGGTTGATCGTCCTCATAACCAGGAATCTGTAAGCCTTTTGCTTTGGGCATAGGAATATGCTCCTGATCAGATGAGAGGAGTTCATGTTGCATTTCATGCTCTAGCTGTGTCAGAGGAGGGGTCTTCTCCCTCTTGGAGGTAGCACCATTTATATTACTGACAATGAATCCATTATTTGATGAGTCTCCATAGGAGGAGTAGTTTGGAAAAGCATGTCTATTGACTCTCAGATTCCTGATGAATAAAGGGTTAGAGGTAGTAGAATGTCTGGAGTATCCTGGAGGTGCAGTAATTGGGGAGATGGTTGTGGGGTCAGAAGATCTGTAATCCATAGTTTGATGCTGTTGATTAGGGGTTTTTTGTTTTGGAGGAGTAACAGATTTGGTTCTCTGATGATGGGAACTCTGGTGAGAAGGGGTTTTCTGTTGATAAGGAGATGGAGGAGGGGAAGGGGAGCAGTTTCTGATGGAGGTTGTCTGTTTACAAGGTGAAGGAGGTTTGGATTTCTTGGGTGATTGTGTATGCTATGATGAGGTTATCTGGTTAGTGGAGGTGTTCTGTTGTGGAGATGGAGATTTCTTTTGAAGTGGAGATATGGGAGGAGTGGAGTGGGGAGTTGTAGGTTTAGGTGATGGGGTTTTCTGGACAGAGGGTGATCTGGGAGGTGAAGGGATGGGGGGTTCGGTTACAACATGAATAGAAGGGGAGTTAGTGATTACCTCAAGTACTGTTTCTTCTTCAATCAAGGATGCTCTCCGTTCCTTAATCAGTTCCAGCATGGCTGATCCTTCATCTTGGAGTGTAGAGGATTCCCTGGGAATGAAATTGGGCTCTACAGATTCCTTAGCTTTCTTAGCAAACATCCATGCTTCAAAGTCTTCAATCTCATTGTCTGCCAGAGGCTTGACAGGCTCCTCTGGTGGAGTAGAAATCAGAACATCCTTGCCTTTGTAGTTGACCTTCTTTTTCTCTAGGACAGATGTAAGAAAGTTGAGGGCAAAGCACTTGGAAACATCATCAGTGCCTACCTAATTAAGGACTTCAGCTTCCTCTGACTCATAATGATCAAAGTCCTGGATGATCTTCTGGAGTGGCCCTATTCTCCAGCTTCTCCAGGCTAACACTCGCTCAAACTGTCTATCTAGACCAGCTCTGAAGTCAGTTTGAGGGTCCCTGTTCGGTGTAGCTCGGCGTTCTGGTGATGACACTTGCATATGCAGTTCTGTTGAGTGTGCAGAGGAAGTGGCGTTCTCAGTTTCCCCTTGAGGGTTGACATCCTCATCTTCTGAGTCACTGGACTCAAAGATTATCTTCTTTCCTTGCCAGGTAGGTTTCTTGGGTTGGACAGATAGTGCAGAGTCTCCAAGTTCCCCCTGAGCATCTGGGGCTCTCTAAATGATAGGTGTCATGGTCTTCTGTTTCTTAGTAACGGGAGAAGCTGAAGGGGCGGAGTCTGCAGAGACAGAAGAGGGTTTCTTCCTCCTTGGTTCAGCCTTCTTCCTCATTGCTTTCTTGGCTGGTGCAGGTACTGGCTTCTTTGTTGTGACCTTTTTCACAATTTTCTTTACCAGGGGTTCATCCTCAGAACTGGTGATGGAGTCCTTCTGGGTGGGTTTCTGTTGGAGCTTCTGTCTATTGATGTCCTGCTTAGTCAATCTTTTGATTTCAGCCTTAATTGCTGCATCTCTGTTGCTCGAGGTGGACATGAAGATCACCTTTGAGTGATCTACCATTGTTGGCTTCCTGAGGCCAACTTATTGTATCAAAAGTTCAGAAATTAGTAGAGCATGTCATACTTTCCCAGAGTAGATGCCCGTTTCTGAGTTTTTCCTCTCGGCCACCTTGACAAACTCTATCAAAGATCTGAGAATGATCTGTCCCCATTTGAGGTTTACCTTGTGGAGGACTGCATAGATGGCATTGGCCTGAGAAATGGTGAACTCATCCGTGGATGTGTATCTGGACCAGACACATTTGTGAAAGATATTCACCAGCAACTCGATGTCCTTCTTCAGGGAGTGCTTCTTCCCAATCAGTTTATGGATTTCTGCACCTGGTTTGCCGTAGTTCATGGCAAGCTCTGCAACCGCGAGATCAACCGTTTCTAGGTCAACAAGACCATTAGAACCTTCTTCAATCTGGATTTTATAGAGGTTGTTGATGACTTCCGCATCAAGGGTGACCTTCTCTCCATTGACAGTAGAAGTGATGACCTGTCTGTGTAATCAATGTTGAGATAGAACTGAACCACATCGATATTGTTGTACTGCGTATAGTTGTAGGTTATCACCTTGCTTAGTTGTGATCCTTCGAGGCATTCTAGTATCCTTTCCATCAATTCCTCGTCCTCAGCAAGTTTTGGGAGTGAGTACAGATCACATTTCATCCCAGTGAGAACGTTTTTGGTCAAGGTTTCCTTCTGAGATTTAGAGAGGGAGTCGAAGCTGATGAACGCCATTAGAGAAAATTAGAGTTTTTTGAAAGCTTAAGAGATATGGAGGTTTGAGTGCTTGAGAGAGAGAGAGAGACGCAATAGCGGTTTCGAGGTACCAATAAATGAAAAGGGGCACATTAAATATTATGCGACTGCAATAACTTTTAAAAGTAAAAGACCTTCCAAAAAGTAACCAGGTCAGCCGGTTTTTCAAATTTTGCAACTCCACAACTTTCTGATAGGTAAAGAGTCTCTGTCGCTGAGGGGTTCTGTTACAAAGGGGTTCTAGTAGAGACGAGAGGTTCTCTGTTCAAAGTGAAGAACATAAGGGGTTCTCTAACAGAAGGTTTGTCCTTCAAGTGTCTCTGGGGATATAATCCATCATTCCCAGTTCTTCTCTTAGCTTATTAAACCTTGTCTCCTAGTTCTCCATGCGTATGTGCGTCTTCTCTACATGATCTCTGATGAAGTGATGTCTGATCTCAATGTGCTTTGTGCTGGAGTGAAGTACTGGATTCTGAGTGATTGCAATGGCACTGGTGTTGTCACAGTGTAGCTTGATCTCCTTTGCATGAATTCCATAATCCTTGAGTTGTTGCTTCATCCAGAGTAGCTGAGCACAGCAACTCCCAGCTGCAATGTATTCTGCTTCAGCTGTACTTGTAGAGATAGAGTTCTGCTTTTTGCTAAACCAGGAGACAAGTCTCCCACCTAGCAATTGGCAGTGACCAGAGGTGCTCTTTCTGTCTAACCTGCAACCTGAAAAATCTGAGTCAGAGTAACCAATTAGTTCAAAGTTACCTCCCTTGGAATACCATAGGCCTTCATTTGGATTTCCTTTGATATATCTGATGATTCTTTTTGTAGCACTTAAATGGCTCTCCTTGGGCTTTGACTGGTATCTGGCATAGATTCCAAAAGAGAAGGATATGTCTGGTCTTCTTGCAGTTACATACAGAAGAGAACCAATGATTCCTCTATACATTGTTGCATCAACATCTTTTCCTTCATCATCTGGTCCAATTCCTTAAGAAGTGTTCATGGGAATCTTGACTGAGGCTTTTCCTTCAATACCAAACTTCTTGATCAGGTCTCTGGTGTACTTCCCTTGGTTGATAAAGATCCTTTCAGGAACCTATTTCACTTGCAGTCCTAGGAAGTAGCTCAGTTCTCCCATCATGCTCATTTCAAATTGACTTTGCATAACTTGAGAGAATTTCTTGCATAGTTCTGCATTAGTACTACGAAATATAATATCATCAACATATATTTGTACTAACAGA